TGTCTATCTGTCTGTGGGTCTGTCTGTCTGTGTCATGTCTTAGCCAATCAGGAGCTGTGTGTGGGTGTGTCCTTAGTAGAACAGGAACTCTTCACACATGCAGCTTTTACTTTGATCCATGTCCCATCTGCTAACATGGAGGATGTTTATGAGCTATACTGCCGGCAGACACCAGGGGGAGATCAAGTTGTTCTTTTCTTCATTGATCAGATATGATCAGACTCAAACATTAGGACAGAAGGGAGACAAATGATTTTGTCTGTCGTCTCTGACTCTTTGTCTGTTGTTGGACAGCACCACTCTGCAGACAGACGATGGAGACATCCTGCTGGACTACTCCAAGAACCTCATCAACCAGGACGTCATGGCGATGCTGCTCGCCATGGTAACGTGTCCATCTCTGGTCATTGTGAAGCCACAGGCTCCACCCACTCTGACACACTTTAAAACACATGTCACATGACCATACACGTCATCAAATCATCAAAAGCCTCCTGGAGCAGCGCCTCCTCGAGCAGCGCCTCCTCGAGCAGCGCCTCCTGGAGCAGCGCCTCCTGGAGCAGCGCCTCCTGGAGCAGCACCTCCTCACTAAGGCGTTGCTTAGTAACAGAAACTCCTCTGAAGGAGGGGCAGTGAGCAGGGATTTCTTTTCTCTGAGCGACGACGAGGCGGGACTGTTCCTGACAGGAAGTGTTAGCGATGCTTTGTGTTCACCGCTGGTAGTCGAGTCATGTGACTGATGAGAACCAATCAGAAGAGAACGTGGGCGTCATCATTTACTAAAGTCTCCGTTTCTGTTCAGATTAAAACAAAAACCAGAGTTTTCAAACTAAACTCAGACCAGTTTATACACGTCTCTGTTTCCGAGGCTTCAGTGTGGACGCCAGGCGTAACCGTGGCAACAGAGATGAGGTTTATAAGTTAGAGGTGTCATTGTGGGCGGAGCCTCAGAGTCAGGTCTCTGTTGACTCAGGAAGATTACAACACTGTGTTTTGAAAGAGTGAACACACACACGGCTTTGTGCTGCAATGTTGTGTTACACACACACACACACACACACACACACACACACACACACACACACACACACACACACACACACAGAGCGATGCAACAGTTTCAGTTACCACAGGTGAGGAAGTGTGTGTGTGTGTGTGTGTGTAGTTTTGACTTTGTGTGTTTTGATCTTCTCGTGTTCTCAGGCCAGGTCGAGGAAGGTGGAGGAGGCCAGAGACAAGATGTTCTCTGGAGAGAAGATCAATTTCACAGAGGTACTGACGTCCACGTTTCCTCCTCACTCCCATGTCACATAAAGTCCACATGTATCCCATGATCCTTCACTGCAGAACCCAGGATCACTGGGACCTGCAACAGAGAAACAGTGTGATTGTATCTTTATTGTGTGAGCAGGTCTGCATTCACCTCAACTGTGAGAGACCAAATACGATCACGAGGGCAAAGATATCATAATAACCAGTGTGTGTGTGTGTGTGTCTGTGTGTGTGTGTCTGTGTGTGTGTGTTCACAGGGTCGGGCTGTGCTCCACACTGCTTTGCGTAATCGCTCCAACACACCGATGAACGTCGATGGTAAAGACGTGATGCCGGAGGTGAACAGGGTGCTGGACAAGATGAAGGCCTTCTGTCACGTAAGCTGTGTGTGTCTGTCTGTGTGCGCTCTTGTACAGCTATCTTTGTGAGGACCAGTTTGAGCCTGCGACCCACAAAGTGAGGACACTTTGTCTGGTCCTCACTTTGTGACACCCCCTTTAATGGACTGTTTGTGTTGTGTTCACAGAAAGTTGTCAGTGGGGAGTGGAGAGGCTTCAGTGGGAAAACCATCACTGACGTTGTGAACATCGGCATCGGAGGCTCTGACCTGGTGAGAGATCTCTGACTGACAACCGTGTTTCCATGGAAACACTTAAACAGCTGATTCTGTCTGTGAATAAATTGAACGTGTCAAACAGAACAGAAACAGAAATGAGCTACTGGAGTAAAACTCGAATGAGAATTCTTCGTTGGGTATATTGCAATAAAGCACCCTGACGATGGTTGTCACCTGCCAGTACACTCAACGAAGAAGAAGAGTGGAGTTTTAAAAGAAGCCTCCAGTTTGTGAACACATCATGTGACCCTGTGGTCGTCTGGTCGTGTGACCGTGTGGTCGTTTGTTCGTGTTGCGTTCAGGGACCTCTGATGGTGACCGAGGCTCTGAAGCCCTACAGCTGTGGACCCAACGTCTGGTTCGTCTCCAACATTGACGGGACTCACCTGGTCAAGACCCTCGCTCAGCTGCAGGCAGACACAACCCTGTTCATCATCGCCTCCAAGGTGGACTTACACAGACAGACACACTGTGCGTTCATGTGTCAACGTCTTCTTGACTTTGTGTGTTCACCCTCTTGCAGACATTCACGACTCAGGAGACCATCACCAACGCAGAGTCTGCCAGAGACTGGCTGCTGCGGGCGACTGAGGACGTGAGTTTACATCATCTTCATCTTCATCATCATCATCAGAGCAGAGACAGATTCATCAGCGTCATGTTTTCTCTTCTTTCCACAGAAATCTGCTGTTGCCAAACACTTCGTGGCTCTTTCCACCAATGCAGTAAGTGTGCCCCCCCCAACTCCTCCCCCTCACCACCGCCCAGCGACAGTTTGTGGTAAAATCAGGAAATCTGACAACCAGAGGAAGTGGAGCAGGAAGTACACGACCCTGAGAACGTTTCCTCATAGTTTACTGGTTCAGGTGAAACCTGCCTGAGACTCTGAGACTTCTCAGAGTGGTTAAACCTGCTCCAGTGTTTCAGTGTTCGTCTACTTGTGTTTCATTTCACTCACAGTCAATGAGTCTCTCTCTATCTCTCTCTCTGCCCCCCCCCTCGCCCTCTGTCTCTCGCCCCCCTCCCCCTTGCTCGCCCTCAGGTCAAAGTCAAGGAGTTCGGCATCGACACGGCGAACATGTTTGAGTTCTGGGACGTAAGTGTGTGATCATGTGACCATGTGTGAAGCAGTGGCAGGTCGGTGACCTTTGACCTCAGTGTCC